CTTGGAGCATTCAGACAAAGCTAGTGACGCTGCGTCGTTTTTGAGAGAGAGAGAGAAGGAAGAACTCGGAGAACCTCCCTAAATTACACGTGTGGGTTACAGTAATTGCTAAATTGCAGAGCTCCGGCTTTATCAGACACACGCCCCCTCCGCTCCCCGGTTCTCAGAGGCTGTGCTGAGCTGACAAGAGCCCACAAGCTCCGAGGAAAGCCTGGCCGGGAGCGGAGTGGGGCCAAGGGAGCCCTCCCCTCCTTGCAGGTGAGGCTGGGGGCCGAGATCTGGCGAATTCCCCCCTCCCCCTCCCGGAGAACCAAAGCGCAGGTGATTGGGTAGCCGGGATGGTAGCATTTTCCGATCGTGCGGCAGCGCAGTGGGCTGTGCCAGTCACTGGACGCCGTGCAGAGGGCCTTCACCAGGCTCCCGTCCTTCCTTACTTTCACCCTTCGCAGCTGCAGCACCTCCAGCTCCGAGAGCACGTGCCTCGTCGGTGAGAATTACCTCCCACCTCTGCACACTGGTGGTCCCTGTCCTGTAGCTGCCGCCCTCCACACACACGCCCGTCCACACCCTCCGTGGCTCCGGGCAGGCCAGCTACGCGCAGGCATGTACCACCTGCCTTTGCATGTACACACACATTACGTTTCTCATGCTGGCCTCTGCTCTCCGAGCACCTGACCCCGTGACCCCGCCGGCTGTGATGAAGTGAATCAAAGCCCTGACCCAGCTCACCTGCATTTTAGAGCGACAGCCCCTCCCGTGAATGGCCCAAAGGAAGAGGGAGCATGTTGTTTTCCAAGAGAAATGTATTTATTTTACACACCAGTTTTCCTGCACACATTTGAGGCAAATAAAATCATTGTAAGACAGGCAAAGAAGCAGGAAAAGGGGACCCTCAGTCAAGAGAAAAATCAATAGAAATAGACCCACAGATGGCTGAGACATTAAAGGCATTAAAGGATCTAGTGGGAAAGGCAGGCAGCGCGTGTGAAAAGGCCCGGACAGCAGCGTGCGGCAGAAGAGGCCGTGGAACGCTCAGCTGCTGCTTGTCAGCTCTGCCCTCCACCTTCTGGTTAGTGTTTGTTCCTTTTGGCTCCAGGGCAGCGGAGCAAGATGAGGCTAAAGCAGAGTCTTTTCTTTCTTTTAGCTTCAGGATGTTGGTGATGACGGTGGTGGTGGGGCTGAAGATGATGGTGATGGTGGTGATGAGGATGATGAGGGTGATGGTGATGATGATGATGGTGGTGATGGGGATGA